GCATCAGCATTTTTGAAGGTGTCATTTTCCAAGCTACAAGAAAAAGGGAAAATATTAGTAACTTGTTGAGCAAGAAACATGAATTGGCAAACAAAAGGATGCAATGGAGGCGGAAATTAGGAGATGGAAGAAAACCAATTGTCATTAGAGCAGATTTGATTGCTGAAGGAGACTAAGGGGGATGAAATGTCTCGACATAAGCAGCAGCCCCGGAAACACAAGGGCAAGCCATGGATGTTCCAGACAATATATTGTAATTTACTCACTGGTTGTCTAATAAATGATCACCTGTGATTGAAGCAAGAGGTGAATAGGCTGCCAAGATATCCACCCCTGGAGCTGTTAAATCTGGCTGCATTAATGCATCAAAGTTTTATATCAACAAAAGCTAGAAGTTATTGAGAGATGAAAACATGGAAGCTGGATAGGTATATAGGCAATCTGAAGTAAGCACCTTTATAATGTTGGGCAATATAGAGTTTGGCCACACGAAGAAAAGAAAGCATCGACTGGAGCAATCGAATTTTTTATGGTCTCACTTTTAAGTATATCTGCTACAGGTTTACTGTTAAAATGTCACAACAATGAATTACCTAAATGAGGAACACTAAAATCTAGCAAGTAAAATCTACAAATGACACCCGGTATTAACATCTCTACTTTGCTGCTTTTAGGTATGTCTTGACTCTTTCATAGTCATCAGGTAGTAAAACTGATACCGGTAAAGAGTATATGTCGGAAACCTTCTCAGAATTCAGGTCAACAAGTATTGATCCCACACCTCCAGCTCTACGAGCAACGAAGGATCCCTCCTCTGTATCACACAGCACAATTTTTCCCTTCACTAAAGCACTGTTCACACATCCTTCACTGCACATCCTGAAACGTGAAAAAAATGAAAGATTCTTACTTCACCGTCAAGAAAAGCTCTTTGAAATGATATAATAACACCTAAATATGACTTACTTTCCACTTTCAGCAGAGCAGTTCTTGGTTACATTTTTCCCATGTATCAAGGGATATTTTACTCCTTGTAGACTAAGAGAGTTAATTGGTTTACTCTGTTTGTATTGAAACAATCATTAACATATATAATTAGGAAGGTGATATAGTTCCACAAAAATGAAGTACAGTCTGCAGAAAATTACACAGGTT